GACAGACAGACAGACAGACAGACGGGTGTGTGTGTGAGTGTGAGAGAGACAGACAGACAGACAGACAGACGGGTGTGTGTGTGAGTGTGAGAGAGAGAGAGAGACAGACAGGTATGTGTGTGAGTGTGAGAGAGAGACAGACAGACAGGTGTGTGTGTGAGTGAGAGAGAGACAGACAGACAGGTGTGTGTGTGTGTGAGAGAGAGACAGGGCTCTTACTATAGGCCTCCACCAGCTCCAGCTGCATGCTGTAGGGAACCAGCGGCTCTGGCAGCTCGGAGAAGAAGCTCTTCATGGCTCCAGCCACTGTGTTGACAGTGAAGTCCTTCTCCGCCAGGTCCAGACTGTGGTCTGAAAGACAAGGAGCAGACCCCTAAAGCAGGGCAGAGGCCACTCTCTTCACTTTCCTCTCTTTTGAAATCACGGAGCCATAATCCCTGAAGTGTCGTAGTAGCATAAGAAACAATCTGCAAAGCACTTCCTCAAATCCACCGCATTTCGGCTCGAAAGAGCAAGTGGCAGGATTATGAGAAACATGCCGCCCCAAATGGTTCTACAACTGTTTAATGAATGTACTTATCATCCCGATATTTTATTATAGCAAAGCGCTGATTCTACATTACATCATTTTCAAGATGCCATGTCCGACAGCAGGTGCCAGAACGGAAGATTCCGAGTTCCTCTTTCACACTTTCTTGCTTTCCTGTTCCTCCAGACATCACAGGTCATTCTAGACCGGCTCCCTGTCCCACAGCACGGTAATCCTGGTTCTGGCTGGCAGCTCTGAATGCCCTTTGTGTGGTGCTCAGAAACGGCTTACAAGTCATGTGACTCCAATGGCCAATCATACACAGACAGCTTTCTCCCCTGGCTGCTGACCTGGTTTTCCCTGGGCGACTGCATGCTCGGCCTGTCTGCAGGAGAAGCTGCACCCTGAGACCATACTGCGGTGACACCACTTCTCCCAGGAGACAAGGGGTCAAGAACACATGGCGCATGGTCCGCATTGACATCGGACCCCAAGAAAGGACGAGCATCCCGGGACCTCTTTTTACACCCAATGCCAGACGTGTTACTGGATCCAATGGGGTCCTGCCTCAGTGGATCAGAACCCGGTCACTTGCTTTCTGAACGGAGTGAGTTAAAAACAATTCCTGGTGCCGATTTTGATTAAAACAGAAACCAAGTGTAGTTACTGTACTTTCACTTAATTGGAGTGGAGGAGGAAATGGGAATTTCTAAAAATGGCAACTTAATTAACAGCTCATTGCAGATTAATTTCTTCTTCTCAGTTGCCTTGAGTCTGCATTTAAAATCAGTTGATTTTAATTATTTTTTAAGAACGTGTTCTACGCCTAAATACTCAAAGAGAATATTACTGGGAGGTGGCAACAGCTGCCCTGATGAGGGCCTCACCAGGAGTAACAGTGACTGTTAAAGAGTAAATTCTTCATTGCGAGGAGCTGAAATGCACTTCTGTGCTATTCTGTAACCTCCTGGTTGCAGTGAACTTATTGACCCGGCCAGGGCAGCTGCTCAAGTGGATTAGAAGGAACTGATCCACCTGGACTCGTGCCTCATTAACAGGCCTCCTCCTCGGATCGAGAGGCCAGAAAGGAACCCCCAGTCCACACACTCTTGGAACGGCTGCATGAGAATGCAGAGCAACCTGTTCAGCCCATTACAGATCAACCACTCCACAGGGGAGGCTTAATGAACCCACCACTGCATGCATATTTCATATATAAATGCAGGCTGCTAGACGTATAGCTCTCTATATTTTTAACTCTTCTCACCCGTGTGCCGTGTTCTGCAGAGATCATGTTTATTGTTCAGTAATCCTGCACCCTATTTGCTAGGGTTGAATTAAATGCATCCCACACTGTGCTTTTGCATCATTGTGTAACCTACTGAATTATGTTTAAGCTTGCAGTTTGTTACAACGCTTATTATTGCACTGTGTGTGTTTTTTGTTCTGTACAAGTTAATTATGAGCCAGTATCCACACCTGGGATCCATCATGAGAAGCACCAGCAGAGCTGAGCCTGGCCTTACCTTGATCAAACTGCCTCTGCATGCTCTCCATCTCGGCTTTGTTCCCACTCACACGGTAGATGCCTTCAGTGCTCAGCCCTGCAAAGGAGAGACAATGTTTTGTATAACATCTGGCCCTGAACACGTGTCTTTCTGATATCCCCACTGTCAGCACATATACCGGATTTCACTTTCATCCTATAAGCCTGATCCACAGACACTACTGTGAACTCCTGTGAACTGAGTGAGGAAGGGGCTCATCCCAGGCGATCTCTGCCTGATCTTATAGCGGGGTGGGGGGGTAACCTATTCCTCTGGAGTTGTAAAGGAACAGGAAAAGGGCAAAAAAGGGACAGCTCCTTCTCTCCTACAACCTTTCCAAACCTGAGCCAGATATCACATGTCTGCAAGCTGCACCTGGAGTTAAACTACACCGCGCTGCATCCACCCAGATTTACCATCTGCTTAGACGACACTTCTTTCCAGCGTGTGAGAAATCCTTCAAATACACTGGAGGAGTGCACACAGGTGGCAGGCCATCAAGAAGGGTGCAGTGCCAGCATGGGGTATGGGAACAACGAAGACAGAAAGTGAAGAGGTGACGGGTGGCGGCTACAGAACATCTCTGCTCACCGAGAGACAGAGACACGATTCCTCATCTCCCAGTTCAAGAGGCAGGGAGCTGCTCCAGGCCAGAGAGCACCTATGTGCTGTCTGTCCCACAGCTTCTGCACAGCTCAGGTCCGCCAGAGAGCGTCTAACCATGGAGAGGAGGAAGAGGAGAGCTGAAGCGCACTGTTAGTGGAACAGATCGGGGATTTAAATTTAAGGTTATACATTTTTAATTTATATTTAAACCAGGTCCTGGGTGCTAAGTGTGTGGGGGGACACTGACGCAGAAACATCTGCAAAGGAGGCGAGTCAAGCAGAACACAAGAACCTCAAAACTCAGGGGAACCAACAGAACAACTGGCAAATCCAGCCTAAAGAAACAGGGCTTCCAGCAGTCTTCTATATGGCGATAGATTCTACATGGTTTCAGAACATTATAAACACAGACACTCTGCAGCCTCAGAACTCACATGATGATGCTGAATTCCTGCCCCTCTTAGTTTCTCCCATGTATCCCCACCACCTAGACACGTACTCACAATCTGCACAACACGTGCACACACACACACACACACACACACACACACACACACACACACACCGCGCCCCCCAGCTGCACAGGCTGAGGGCTGGGAGTGCGTCAATACAGCAAGGCCACAAGCTGTCTGAGGTAATGAGGAGACTGGCGAAGACGTCAGGCCAGATTGATCTCCTCTCCGACGATCAATTATCCCCAAAAGCTTTAATGCACTGCCGAGGCCGGCCAGTGGAGCTGACTGCAGTGAGCAGGAGAGCGCCGCGGCTCCTGGGAGCCCTGGAGATGCAGGAAGAAGGAAAGAGGGCGTGGCGACGCTACAAACACACTTCCGCCAGGGGCGCTCCCACTGCAGAGCTATCGGAGCCAGTTCAGGTTTTCAAGCCTAGAACAACAGGCACTTGTACAAGCAGCACCTGAGGAGGCACGAAAAATAAATGAGGAGAATAAGAGGCACTTCTTGACACAGAGGGTTGTGGGAGTGTGGAACAAGCTATCCAGTCAGTGCTAGAGCTGCCTTCATGTAGAAGACATGTAGTAAGAGCTGGAAGGGATACTCAAACCACCTCTAATTAGTATGGTTCTTATGCTGTTGTCAGCTGGACATCTCTCCATCTCTGGTGCAACTATTTTCAGTATCTACCTGGGGGAACAATTAACAAGGCTAATTGTCTCTGCCACTTCTGACACTCTTGAAAATCAACTGCCACAACAATAACCACTTGTGATAAAAGGAATTTTGGGTACAGCCCATGGCACTCTCCTGGGAATGCCCTCGGAATTCCAATCTCCTGAGGGGCGGACAGGAGGTGTGAGCTGGTGGTCAGCACAGGGATTCAGAGCAAGGAAACGGGCAGAGCATGCCAAGAGCTAGCCTTTCCCTCTGAGCAGCTGGACAGCAGACGGGCGATTCCATGTCCTGCATGTCTCTGCGGGGCCCTGTACCCAGATTTCCAGCCAAGCTGCAGTGAGTCGTGTTAAAGTCTGATAATCAAAGCTCTGTCGACCCCTAATCCACTACACATTCACTTCACCTCCCTGCTCGGCTACGACACGGATCTCGCAGCTTCCCCGAGAGGACAGACTGCAGCCTGTCAGCGAACGCTCACGCAGACCTGCCAGGCTCCCCCCGGCGCTAAGCTGGTGCCAAGTAGAATGAAAAACAATTAGGTGTTAAAACCAGCAGCATCTTTCAGAGACTCCGCGACACTTGAAACACACAACAGTCTAGAGTCACATCCCAGTCAACCATGATCCCAAATTAAAGTACGGAATCAAGCAGGGGCTTTGCACACATTAAAACAGCAGTCACAAAGCACAGCTCTGTGATCCCAATAGCAGATGAAGAGATGAACAGGGATACATTTTCAAGGTGATTTCAGGATCGTTCTACTCTTTCAGCTTTCATACATTAGCTCCTAACTCTCTTGTATAAGAAATACTCTCCCCTTCAGAGTACAACCCACCCCTGTGAGCCCAGCCCAGACCTGCGAGGCTGCCTTTGCCACAGCAGTCTGCTGCTTCTGCAACCTGTTTTCATTACATCAAGGGGCATTTCCCTACGCACGGCAGACAGTTTTTCAAACATTTCAGGTACATGCACATACATAAGTGTACTGGAAAAGGCCTGCAGTGTTAACAATGCACCAGCATTGATACCCAAGACACCCAAGGCTTAGACACTGAGCTGTTTCTGCCTGTTCCTCTTCATGCGTGGTCTCTGCATGTACAACACACTCAAACATATTATGTACATGTATACATATACCAACAGGATGTACTCAAATGTCAGAGCACGTATAGGCTTTGGGATAAATCCTGCAGAAGCCGAGGTGTTTTCAGGGACACCTCCACCTGTGATTGTGATTAAACTGATGACAACAGCTGATGAAGGAGATGTAAGTGTATGTGTCCTGTATATGCATGTGAGATCTTGTACACATGGGCATTAATGAAGAACTCTTAATGGCACAGTTTTCCCAGCTGTTTTACTTTGTGCTCCTTAACAGTTTGAAAGAGTTTGTCTATTTCTGCTTCACGAGCTGATCCTAATAAGCTCCTGTGTGTGTGTGAGCTGCAGGGGCACCTGGGCGCTGCTCGTCCCGGGCCTCTCACATAGCGGAGCAGAGCGGGACCTGGCCTCGGCCTCTGTGGAGCCGCGCGGAGCTTTGCTGCGGTTAATCTGCAGATCTCCCTGCTGGCTGTTTCAGAAAAGCTCTGTGTTCCTTCCAAGCGAAAAGATCAGCCGAGCCGCAATTTCCTCCTCCAGATATCGATCTCAATGAGGGAGCTGCCAGGCGGAAAATCACCCGGAGCAGCTTCCTGGCAGGACAGCACAGCTGCGGCCTGGGAGCCCAGCGAGCACCATGGCGCTCCAGTCACAGTCGGAGCTCATCGGCAGGGCTTGCGGGCCGGCTCGGCATCTCCACGGGCCCATTCCGGGTGTGTGAGTCCGCCCCTCTGAGCCCGAAGCTCTTCCCATCCCATTCCAGCCGGCCTCCTTTGCTGGCGCAGAGCGGAGAGGACAGCCCCAGCGCTGCCGTTTCAGAATTAAAAACATCCGCTGTTTCGCTGTCGTGTTTTTGAGTTGCTCTGGAATGGCCAGGAATGCCCTGGCCATGGACGACACACGAATCCAGCAATCAACAGGGTGAGGAACACCCACTGGCTGCCAGGGGACTCCGGGAGGCATCAGAGGTAACGTCAGTCACCACGGAATACCCAGATCAACGCTGCCTCCTCCTGGCAAAACAGGAGAGCTGCTGATACACTGCCACCCGCCTGCCCCTGCAGAGGCCCTGCCTCCCCTGCCTCCCTCTTCAGAGGCCCTGCCTCCCCCCCCTGCCCCTGCAGAGGCCCTGCCTCCCCTGCCTCC